ACTTGTTCAACCTTTGGACGAAGACCTACTTCGACTAGTGGATGGTACCACTATGACTCCGCCTCCGCCTGCTTCACGTCACCTAACTACAGTATATAGCCACGTCTACGGCCCTATGCTGTACATTCTACAAGATTGATGGACTGAACACATCGACTCCAGGCTGAGGGACTGATTACCTCATACTCCTCCTCTCCTTACGCCTTCCTCTTTGTATTGGAGTGATGAACTCACTGTGTGGCGAAACGTTTCCTGAAAAAAGATTCCCATATGCTGCATAAGTGTCTCAATCTTCAACTTGTCGGTTTTTCAACCCTTTCATCCACAACCCCACACACACACAACAATTAAAATTTATATATATTTTTAATATATATTATATATATATTATATTATTATATATATATATTTTTATATATATATATATTTTATATGTATATATTATATAATATATTATATATATATTTATATATATTTTATATAAAATTATATTATATATAATTTTTATTTTGAAAAATTTTATTAATAAAAAAACATTTACAGAAAAACATAAACTAAAATAAAAATGGCAAATGTAAAAAAGATGAAAATTTTTTCCTCAGCTCTCGAGGCTGGACGTGAGCCAAGTACCAGAAAGTTTTCCCCCTCTGGATGGCGCGCTGAGGCGCTGGAACATGAAAGTGGCCCCCTTGGGTCCCTGGGGGTGTCGTGAGTCTGGAACCCCAAATTCTTTAAGGAAAACTGTGGCTTTTTTCCCCCATGACCCCAAGGTCTTGATCCCAGGGGGACAAATTGATATGTTGGGGAATGTCCCTGTATTTGCTGATTTGTACCCCCCTGTGGTCGAGCCCCTCCCTGTCCCCCACACTGTGTGGATATAGGTGTCAGCCAGTGTGGAACACAGTATGTCCCATGCAAAGAGTTTTGCCATTCTTAAAGGATGATGGTGACCCCGTCGGGGCGGTTTGCTGGGTTGTGGGTATTGTTTGCTGCAAGTGCGTGGCTCCCTCTCGGCAGGGCACCCAGTTTTGAAGGGTTCTTTTAATGAGCGTTGCCCATTGTGTCTTGCTGCCACCCCTTGGTTTTGGGCAGTTAGTCATGTAGACCGTATTGGTTGCTTGCACATCCCGAAAATAAAAATTTTTTCTGGTAAATTTGGGGCAGCAAGGCGCGAGCCCTGCAAACGGGGGTCTTAGGGTCGAGCGCGTTCCCATTGCCGATATGGGAACTGTTTGGAGGAAGTCCCCGGAGTGAGGTGCATCACCCCGGGAGACGGGCAATCTCCCTATTGATGTTGCACCCCTGAGCTGTTGGCAAGCACCTTTTAGCAATTTGGGCTTCCCGCTTGACTGTTTGTGGCCCAGTGCTGCACTAGGGTTGGGGGGAGCAGCAAGGTCTCCATTCGGTGAGGGCACTGACTAAAGGGTCTTCTTTTCTGTGAGTCACGAGGGTGTCAGGAAGAATTTGTCTTTCAATGTTGTGCAATGGAAGATTTTTGGAAAGTGGTAGAGCAATTGGGAGGATCTGGTATCTGCCCCCAAGCCTGACCGGAAGTGAGGCTTGCAACCATGTCCATCGTAAAGGGGGAAAGATTCAATACCTCTCTAGCATGGCCTTCAGGAGGGCTTTTCTTGGTTTTGGACTGTGAAGGCTGGGGAGATCTCAAAAAATAGGAAATTTTTGGGGGGTTGAAGGCACCTGGGAGTGGGTTTGAAAGGCATCGTGTGTGTAATGTCTTTCACCCTGCTTTCCATCGCCCGGAGGTTGAGACTTTTTTTCCTAGGATCGACGATGGCTTGGGCCCCCAAGAGGAGCCCGGGGAGGTATTGGCTGGATCAATTGCTCGTGCCCCGGGGTTTTAAAAGGTTACAAATATTCTGGTTAATGTTGTTTGGAAAAAAAAACTATTTCACATTTTTTGGGGGTTTAAAAGGGGGGCCCAGGTTTCCCCCAAAGTCTTTAATTTTTGTGTCCCCCAGGAGGTTTTGTTGGCCAGTGGTACCGTCGTCGAGGAACCAGTTTTTAGCTCGCGGAGAGTGCCTCCGTGACTTCCTTGATGCCCAAAACAAAAAAAAAGGGGGGGGCGAGGGTTTTTTCCCCCTGTTGAGCCCTACCGAGTAAATTTTCTGGTCCCCAAAAATAGTTTGGAAAGTCACATATAACACGTTTCTTGAAGGGAAAAAGGGAAAGGGAAGTTTCTATAAACTCTTGGAGAGCAGCATCCTTCTGACTGATTTGAAAGCTTTGGCAAAGCCCAAATTTGCCCAAGGTTTTTTCAAAGGCATTTTTTTGATATTACTCGTTGCGTGGGCAGTGCTTCACAGCCCTGTTAAACGCCGAAAACCCGAGCTGAGTTGGTTTCAGCATTGCAGCAGCCTCTTGACTCCCTTCTTCTGCAGCCTTGGCGACTAGGCGCCGAAGGGGTTACCCACTGCAAGGGGCCCGATTCCGCCTCCTTTTTCCGGAGGGCACAAAAATGGGGCCACCAAAGAAAAAGGGTTGATGGCCCCTTGGGGGCCTGCCCGCCAGGCACAGGTTGGAAAAAATTTGGGGAGTTTTGGACAGCAGCCTTCTGAAACCTCCCAAGTGCTGGGTTTAGTATTTTTTTTAAGTGTTGGTCTTAACGGTGAAACCTCTGCTGAGCCCCGTGGAAATGAAAAGGCTTTTTCACTCAGCTCCTGAAGGGGTTTGTGTTCTTCGCCCGCTGCAAAAGTCAGGGAGGTCAAAGTTTGGGATGGGAAACCCGGGTGGGTGTTTGTCCTTCAAGCTTGCGCCGTGCTGCGCCTTTGGGGGCGATGGTATCCTCAAGGTTAAGTCTCAAAGCCCAATGTTTACCCTCTTTTTTTTTTGCTAATTTGGGCTCTGTTTTTGAGGGTCGGGTTTTCCCGTTGTTGGGATTTGCCCCGGCGGGTGTTTGTGCCCTAGGGGGGGGACGGACGGGTTGTCATCCCTTGGGAGATTTATTGCCCTAAAAACATGTTTTTGTAGTGATTGCCCTCCTTGGTGGGAGCCAAAAGGCATTGCCAAAAAGCAGCAAAATTGTGCCAGGATCTGTGTTTGAAGGGCATCGTTGACTTTTCTTCAGGAGGTCAGTGAATTTTCTAGCGCTTGAGGGCGAGCTGTTTGGGGATGTGTGTCGGTCCTGGTGGGTGTTAATTTGATTTTCGATTTTAGGTCCTCTGTAGAGGTGAAGTCCGGTAGCGTCAGCCCTGTCTGTGGGGGAGGCTGGGTTGTTCTCATTTGGAGTCTTTGGAGCCCAGACATCTATTGTGTGCACGGATGTTGCCCGATGTGGGATTGAGTGACATTTCCCCGTGGCACACCCCGGGAGATGCCCCGTGAAAGAAGCTTTGGCTCTGTCGTGAAAATTCCCGGGAATATATATATATATAATATATAATATATATATAAAAATAATATATAATATTTATATATTATATTATATATATATTATATATATTTATATACAGTTATATATATTATATATTTTATTTATTTATATATATATATAATTTTTATATAATATATATTTTATATATATATGACATATTTATATATAATTATTTTAATATATTTTTTTATAATAAATTTTAAATTTTTATATATTTTTTGTATATTAATATATATTTTATATATAATTATATATATTATATATATATTTATATGTCAATATATTATATTATATTATATTATTTATATATATATATATTATTATTTATATCGTCTTTGTAGTTTTAAAGCCAGTGTCCTCAATATTATTCATACGCTATTTACGCTTTCAGTATTTTTGGGTTCGGAGGTTTTCTTAAATACTATCTGTGGTGCTTTTATCTGCTGCACCCGCTATTTAGTTGCTTTTTTTATTTTTATTCCAGCTTATCGGTTTTGTATTTTGTTTTATTTTTTTCCAAGCTTTTTTTTTTCTTAGTATAATTTCTTTAGTAATTCGTCACTTTCTTATTTTTTTGCTTGTCTTTTTAAATTTTTCGCATTTTCTGATTTGGGGGCTTTCATACCACTTTATTTTAAAATAACATTTTCATTACCAGTTATTCTATTTTTTTCCTGCCCTTGATCTTGTACCATCTTTTTAGTTTATACAGCTGTTCCCTTTTATTTTTCCGGTGTGGGGTAGCCAGTTTGAAAAATTTGCTGCCTCCTCCCTAGTTTAAGCATTGGTAGCTTTATCTATTCATTTTTTTTTCAAATCTTATATAGATTAACCCATTCAAAAAAATCTTCCATCTAATTTCTCTTTTCCATTTTCTGGGGCACTAATAATTACTGTTTAAATATTCATTCCTATGAAATGAAAAAAAGGCCATTGAAAACCCTTTGTTTGGGCACCTTGCATGGGGCAAGTTGGGGACACGTTGGTGGGGCTTCGTGTGGGGCAACTGGTGGGGCCATGTGTGAGGGTACCCAACGTGGGGCCCTATAGGGGGGCACTTACGTGGAGTCCTAGTTGTGGGGCAGCGAGCGTGGGTCACACTGGTTTCCCGGTGTGGGGGCTACCCCATTGGGTAACCGTGAGGAGACCCAGAGTGAGAAGTTGTGTGGGTTTCTTTTTTAAATTTAAAGATGCTTAAAATCTCTCAAAAACACTCTCGATTTAGCCGAGGTAAAAAATTCCTCTCGGGAATATTCTCGTGTGTTATGTGTGGTAAGGGGGGTGTACTCCCTGTTGGGGCTTTTGTGCCTTCTCGTTTGTGTCCTGTTTGTGTTTCTCAGTGTGCGATGCCCCCTCTTGGGCCCGGTGTTGAGGTTACGTGGGGACACTCTTCCCCTTTCCCTTTTTGTGAGCCCCCCTGTATACAAATAGCGGGGGATTGTTAGGGGCTAGGCACTCAGGTCCCCTTTTATTTGCGTTTTTGAGACACGTAAGAAGCAAAAAATTCAAAATTTCTGAGCCTTCCATGCCTCTTTTTCATGTGTTTCACAGGATAATCATTTATATTAACTGGAGTGGCTAATACATCTTCTCTTGGCACACAGGTGGACCTAAACATGAGGATTGGCAATCCACTCCGGGGCAGTGCTGTGCGGAGTGCTGGGTCTCCGCAAGTGGCAGTTCGATGTTTGGTCTACGACGTCACCTTAGCCAATCACATGGAAGCCGGCGGCATACCAGGGTAGGCCCATCAATTAGCTCGTATACTAAAATTGTCTATTTTGCTTTGCTTCGTTGACAGCATGTGGCACCGTGGTCAGTAGTGTTGCTGGCGAGGGGCTAACTGCTAGTGAAACAGATGCCGATCGCTACCCTGATGCTAACCACTGAAAAGTCTGCCTGTGAGAGTTGTTTCTATGTTTTGCTGATAGCGAACGGTGTCTCGAGCCTATATACATTTCTTGCACTCAGTAACCCAAACGGGTTCAGTATTTCATGGAAATATAATAATAATAATGAAATGTAATGTACACTGCAGGGAAGGAATCAACATGTAGGATACATACAGTATATAAAGTGGTTTGTATCTCCTAGTTATATCTAGAGAAAAATTTAATCTACATATATATCCATGTATCTTGATGGTAGTGTCAAGGTATATTGCAGCCACAACGACCCTCGAACAAACGAAATGTTTTAATCTTAAAAAAAACTTGCGCCAGTCTCGATTCAACCTTTAATTACCATGTAAGAAATGGATAGGTTTCTTCTGCCCAGTGTGCTCGCTCATGTTTGTTGTTGTTACAGACTCGTAGCTCGCACACTGCCCCCTTTATTCACACTACCCTTTATTTCACACTACCCTTTGCTTTACACGACCCATTTTTTTACGGTACCCCTTGCTTCATACTCCTCTTGCCTCACACAATCCCATGCTTTGCATTCTCCCTTGCTTCACACTACCCCTTGCTTCACACTACCCTCGCTTAACACTACACCTTGTTTCGCACTACCCCTCGCTTAACACTACACCTTGCTTGACACTACCCCTTGTTTCACACTACCCCTCGCTTAACACTACACCTTGCTTCACACTACCCCTTGTTTCACACTACCCCTCGCTTAAACACTACACTTGCTTCACACTACCCCTTGTTTCACATTACCCCTCGCTTAACACTACACCTTGTTCACACTACCC